CCCTGGGGCCAGTCTGAGGTGTGCTGTGTCCCCCCATCCCTGGGGCCAGTCTGAGGTGTGCTGTGTCCCCCCATCCCTGGGGCCAGTCTGAGGTGGGCAGGCGTGGCACCCTGTTCAAGAGCAAGTGCCCAGGCAGTTCAGCGTGAACTAGCTGCGACAGTCATCACTGAGCACTCAGAGCAGTGAGTCCGGAGCCCCGTTCTGTTTGCTGGGCTCAGAAGTCTGGCCCCACCCAGCAGCCGGAGCCAAGACTCCAGCGAGACTAAGATCTCTGGGAGGGCACCAGTCCATCGACAGCAAACCGAATGCCAGTGCGAAGGGGGTGATCACTCCGCAAGCCTGCAACACGCAGGCTGTCCTCTTACCCGTTTCTAACTGCTGGGCTCAGACAGCAAGAGCCCTTCCACTCAGGTCTGAACTGTGTCCCTTGGATCCAGTCACTCCCAGAGCCCACAGAGGGGCACTGCTGCTGGCAACCCCACTCGCCTTCCCTTCCTGGGAACCGGACACCAGCAGGGAGGCACTGGGCCCTGTCACCCCGTTCCCAGCGGGAGTAGAGCCCTTCCTCAAGCCCACCTGAGGCTGGAAAGAACGGGGCGTGGGAGGCAACAGGCGCTGACGGGTCTTTCCTAGGGCTCCCTCCTTCCGGCTGCCGCTTGACCCCAACGTGCCCTGCATCCTGGTGGGCCCCGGCACGGGCATCGCCCCCTTCCGGGGATTCTGGCAAGAGCGGCTGCATGACATTGACAGCAAAGGTGAGGCTGGGGGCCCAGGAGTGACTGGAAGGCAAGACGTAGTCACACGGGCTAGGGACACAGAGCGTGGGCTGGAAGGCAGGAAACAGGCAGGAAGTGGGCAAGGAACAAAGGTGAAAGGTTTTTATCAGCCCAAGGGACAGGGAGAGTGCTCATCTGGCTTCCTGGTGCCCGGCAGTGTGGCCACTGGACTGGGTTAGGGAGGTGGGTGTCGGGACGCATAGTGGTCTCTGGGCTGGGTCTCGGGGCTTGAGGAAGCTGTCTGTGGGGCATTCAGGTTGGGCACGGGGTTCCCGGGCAGTTGGTAAAGCCAAAGAGAGCTGCGACTGTAGAACAGGTTGCAGATGTGCAAGGAGGCGGGTTGGGGCGCAGCAGGGTAAGAGTCCCTTGAGGTGTTACATGGCACACAGGGCAGGAAGCGCCTTCTTTTAGCGCGAGGGCAACTCCACCAGGGGAGTCTCTACCCCGTTGAGCTTCTGCAAATCCCCAGCGTGGCAAGGTGTCTGTGGAAGACCCTGCCTCTCCCAGGGCCAGACACCCCAGAGTGGTCCTCTTGTGTCGGCAAAGCCAGCTGTCAGCCTGGGTGACAGGAGCCGGTGGGAGGTGTCCTTAGGGCTGCGCCCCTTGGGAAAGGAGGCTCTGCAAGCCACGCGCTGCTTGCAGGGCTGCAGCCCGCCCCCATGACCTTGGTGTTCGGCTGCCGATGCTCCCAGCTCGACCACCTCTACCGCGACGAAGTGCAGGATGCCCAGCAGCGCGGGGTGTTTGGCCAAGTCCTCACCGCCTTCTCCCGGGAACCCGACAGCCCTAAGGTGGGGCCCTGAAGGGCCGCGGGGAATGGCCTGAAGCTAGAGGGTGGGGCGCGAGACCGAGGTGCGCTCCAGCCCCGCCCCCGCCCCCACCCAAGGGCTGGGCGACGCACCCCACCCCCGGGGTCTGGACGCCCACTCAGACCTCGCCCAAGCCCCGCCCACGCTCGGCCCCCAGGCCCACCCCGCGCACCTGTCGGCCAGACTCACGCCCGGTCCCGGCCTGGTCCCTCCCCCAGACCTACGTGCAGGACGTCCTGCGGACCGAGCTGGCCGCTGAGGTGCACCGCGTGCTGTGCCTCGAGCAAGGCCACATGTTTGTGTGCGGCGATGTCACCATGGCAACCAGCGTCCTGCAGACGGTGCAGCGCATCCTGGCGACAGAGGGCGACATGGAGCTGGAGGAGGCCGGCGACGTCATCGGCGTGCTGCGGGTGCGGAGGGGCGGGGCCAGCGCTCCGGGGGCGGGACCGACGCTCCGGGGGCGGGACCGACGCTCCGGGCTGCGGCGTGCGCCCTGCACTGGGGCA